AGAGTAAAGAGTAATAGTCGTAAAATCAAGTAATGCATATCGTTTTGGAAAAGTGGATCGATATGTATTACTTACTAAAGCTAGGATGACAATTTGGGACATTTTAATATCGTAAGTTGAAAGAGAAAAGTAATTTTTTACCATAATATCAAACCTGTACTTCCCAAATTTCATATTTTCTTTAAATCACAAAAATATTGTGATCAAATTAATTTTTTGCAATTGTGCAATTTTTAACCTTGGTCTACATTCAGTACAAAGTCCCTATACTCAATTACATCTTATCAACAACAACTAATCATACCAATTCATGATAAGACGTCAAGTGTTGATGATAAATCCAAAGATAAACAACTTATTAAACGATGCCATCATACTTAATGCGTCTGTAAAGACACGCGTAGATATGAACAGAAATTACTCAATTAATGATACACCGGTTTGATACGAAATAATAAACGAATAACTCATCGTAACAGATTCGTCGTGATTACTCATTAATATTTTATTGACTGTAGTCACTAATGCAACATTGCGGGAAGTTGCGGAATTAAATTAAGCACAGTACGCTTATCGTGCTAATTTTGAGCAAGTTTTGGAAACACACTGTGAAATTTGCACACGTAGAGTCTTAACACTTAAATTTTATTGCAGGTAATGCACGGTTAGGAAACAATCATCAATAATAATGAATTACACGGCATTATGTCATGTTAAATTAAATTTTATTGATGAACTCGGAGAAGAGTCGAGTTGGGAAGAAGTTACTTTTGTTTTATGGTGTAATTATTATGACAACAACAGCAGTAAGGTTTTGATAATTCACTATGGTTTTCTTTTCAAAGAATTCTTATTGTAGAATATAAAATAATTATTCTTAAATCACCCAGTGATATTAATGAGGCCAGATTTTTTTTTATTAAAAAAAAAACGCTGCACGTGGGGCAACTCAACAGAAACGCAAGAAAATTCCAAAACAATAAAACACCTCAAAATAACCGCGTACTACAGCCTAAAATACAAAAAAAACTTCTGAGTTAGAGCCAGATACGTCATCATCAAAAGCACTTCTACCTTATCCGACAAGCAGTTAATAAAGATAACACGTCTTCCTTGGTTTTGTTGATGAAGACGAATGAAGCACTTGTCAGTCTTTAGAAATATGCAAACTTTGCATTCTCGGTACCCTCATCCATGAACAAACTGCCCTTTTCTCACACAAAACGCTCACAACAGACAACACAACCATTCAATTTGAAGGCTGCGTCGCTTTCGACAATCGCAGAGGAAACAAGGAGGACGCTTCGAGGAAGGAAATTTCACAAAGCGCGTTCATTTCCCTCCTGTCTGACACAAGTGCCAACAAGCAACAAGCATCCAAGGTGCTAATACAAATGCTCACTCAAACCTGAATAACAATGAACATATTTCAACCAATAGCGAAAAAAAGCGAGAACAAGTTCTAGCGGATTTTAATCAACTCCTTAACAATAAAATTCCAGCTTGATAATGCTGCTTATCAGCGTCATGCTTTTCATGTTCATTCAAACACAAACTCCATTTGTGTTCAATGATAACTCAGGAATGCAAACAATCCTGGCTGAAAGTTTACTTTTTACAGCGCGACCTTGACACAATTCCTTCATGAAATAAAAAACAAAACGCATTCTCGTTTGCGTTTCGATTTTCAAAACGAAAGCTCAGTGAAACACCAACGCATGTTTTGGTTCTAAAATTAAATTCGCCGCGCTTAAGTGTGCGACAACACGTGCCATGTCACAAGCAAACCACTGCGGCGACAAATAAGCACCTATATTTGTAGTGTGCGTGTGTTTGCAGAGAAACTACTCGAATAAACACCAAATATAACCAGTACAACATTTGACTACTAAACAGTCAAAACACCAAACTCACAAACTCCGCCTACCAAATTAGTTTAACCACACATGTAGGATAAATGTCCCCACATACGATCAGTACAAAATGTACTGTGTGTTGCCTAATGTACAAATACGATATAATGATCGTATGTGGTGACAATAATGTGTACTAACGTAGACTGCAAATGAAATTGCGTCGTATTCATTTATTCACTCACATTGCGATCATTTCCATCAATTGATGTTGTTTAATAAGCGCCATGGCAAAATTTTGTAATGAATACTTCCGGAAAATACAAATAAAATTTCGGAAAAACCGCGCTACATACTATAAACCATCTGTGATGTTGAAATGTTTAAATTTAATAATCTAAACGTCGCCACTTGAGTAAATATAAAAGCATATGATGTAAATACGAGTTAATTAATCGCTAGACAAACGAGGCGGCTTTTCATTATCCGAATTTCAAGCACCGTTGAAATTCGGGCCAGCGCGTTTTTCCACATTACCATAACAAATCATCTCAACGCGCAAACATTTGGGATGTTGGTTGTAATAAACGCAAATTACGAACAAACACATTAACGCTCAGTAAACCTAAACGACGCGTCACGTAACCAACAAATTTCATTTCAAGAACGTATTTTAAGCCAAATGTAAATGAATTTTAACTTGAATTCTTCGTTCGCGTTGACATTTCGTCATCTTACATTCCAATGAATCGCCGCTTAATTTATTATCAAATGTCGGCGTTGGTTTTTTGAATTTTTAGTTATCTACCTTCACAAATTCTACTTTTACTTTTCATTGCTTAAGAAAGCACTATTTTTTTATATGAGTAGATAATATTATGACACTTTCTATTTGATTTACACCTAATAGGTAATAAATAAAAATAAACTAAAGCAAAACGTCATTAGTGAGTGATTAATATTATATCATAATTATTATTATGTGATTCGCAATAAATGTAGGTGTATCAACCAATATAGACATAATACTAAAACCTGTGACGCAAATAGGTAACTATCAATAACGATGCAAACCAGCATGCGAGGCGAATGCAAAGCGTTTTGAAAAAAAAAAAACTAATCAATAAAAACAACAGAAACACGGCAAAAGCAGTGAAAACGATGGATGTTTACCTCGCACACCGGTTTGTTGATTGCAATATTACGTGCGCTGTGGTTAGATACATCGCCATTACGTACGATCTAAGTTATTTCAATGACGATGCACTTGCGGCGGTGTAAACTATTAAAGTTACCAATGTTTAAATTTTAAAAATATCGATTGTACAGGTAGGAAGATGATCAATAACTATTTTTAGTAGTTTCTTAATTACTAAAATTTAAAAGTTGTTTTCTTAGAAATTCTGAAAAGAGGAAAGTATCTAAGAGTTTTAAACTTGTTTTACACGGAAGTTTAATTTTCATTAGTACCTGTAAAGTTTACGTGCTACCATTACGTGCAAATCTATATAAAAACAAAGTCGAGAAGTCAATTCAAGAGTTTCAATTAACAAAAAATAGTAACCCTCCAGAGAAATTCCGTTCAAAGTATATCGCAGCAATTTGTATGCAAAACTCACAGAAACGTAACACTGCTCGCAGCAAAGTAAACGCAGTCAACGAAATATAAATGCATATATCGGTACCTACGAGTGCATACTCTACTCATGCACAATAACGTGAATGAACAATGCACAATGCACACCAATCTTACAACGCGCCATGAGCACGTTCTGCTAGACTTCCAAAAATAACAAACATCAAATGCACCAATAAAACCAACACAAATTAGGCGCACACACGAATCACACATATCACGAGTATGTAACTACAAAAAAAAAACAATTTGCAACAAAATTCCACTTCAATATCACTTCACTTATACAATGCACGTAATTTATTTAAAAATATAAACACTTTAAATGACTCATGACTCACGTCCTCATGAATATTTGATGTGCGCGATATGCTGTAAGTAAGTACATCATCCAACACAAAATGGATGCGCTTGAAATGCGCTTGAGCTTGTGCAACGATGCACACACTCGCACCGAACCAGACAATTTATTATTTGCGGCGCATGCATGTCAATGTCACCGGCAGGAGTTGCATATACACAGTGATGGTGTCCCCAAAGAGTAGCACAACATAATTAATATTACGCCTGATTTGGGCAAATGGGGGACAACAGGGCTGTGCGTGATGGTTGACCTTCGCGACAATTTGTTATCGCTCACGAGTATGCATATAAACATTTTCGTTTCATGCCTGTTTAACAACACAATGACATATTATACTCGTGTGTAGAAATACTGTCCAAAAATGTAATAAAATATTAATGGCTTTTTGGCCCGAAAGCGCACATTTTTCGCCTGATTACACCTAGCATATTAATCATAAACTTGCAATTAAAATTTTAATGAAAAATTACACGCGTGAGTAAAGATTTTAAATGCAATGCAAAGTTTTCCATACCATTCAACATGATGATTTTTTGCGTCGTTGAGAAAGTTAAACTAAAATTAGCGTGGCTCAAATAAGTTCAAAAATACCAGCGCTATGTGCTCCTACAGGTGCCCAAAAAGTGACGACCTTGGCGAGTTTACGCCGCGGCGCGTGTTCTATCGTCTTCCACGACGCTCTAGCGCGCGACACAGACGCGATTACCGTTCGTTCGTTCATCAGCGCGTTGTCGCGTCCCGCGCCTCTTCGTGCGGCTCATGCGCGACAATTCGAACGGGTTGAGTTGTTTTCCCGGCGTGCGCCCGGTGTGCCCGATCGGTGGTTGAGCAAGTGGGCGTACGCGCAACCGTCGCCGTCAATAACATGACACTGCTACGCTGTACTTCGGCACGCGCTTTAAACAATTAAAAGCCCTTTCCGCCGCAATACAATATCTCGAGTAATACATGATCTTATCTAATGCTATACATAACAAGTTGTTGACAGCATTGCGTTTTTTATATGATTCACGATTTGGGATTCATTCGCAGAGTTGAACAATAAAAAAAAAAGAGTAACGTTGCAGCGTTCGTCACGATGTGTTGCGTTTGCCGACGCCGATTCGCCGAATATAATAGAAACAAATACAAATGGAACACGGCTCACCTTATTTACGCTCGCCTGGTTCCTTTCCTTCCTTCCTCTTCCTCGTCCTGCGTGCTCTGGCACTCACAAAACTCACAATCGTCGCCGAATTAATCCCAACGGGGGCGTCCCGTGTCTACCGTGCGTAGATATATCCAAATTGCGTAATCGCTCCTCCACTTGTCGCAACGTGCGCAATCAAAATTACGAAAACGCTTCACGCGCCGCAAACAAACACACGTCGCCGTTTTTCGTCGTGCCGAGGTGTAGCAGCCGCACCGACCGAACTCCGTTTCCGCAGCTGAACTCGGCTGAACTGAATGCGCGAGCTGGCGGGCTCGGCGAGGCACGCACGGCGCGGCGCCCCGTCTGATAATGTTGCGTCTTCGTTGCACAAACGTCAATCGGCAATAATTTTTTCTCGTGAAAAGAGATGACGTGCTTTAAGTTCGGAACTTTAGTTCGTAGAAATGAGACGTTTTCTGATAGGGGGCAGCACGTGCCGGACCTATAACAAATTGGATCATATATATAATAATGATGCGGCTGCTTTAAAATTCCAATTTGAAAAAATGATAAATCAACGTTATATTTACTTCGGTTAGTAATATAACTTTAGCAATTATGCTTTAAATCTTACAGATTTCTAATAAACTTATTTTTAACACGTTTTCTAATCATAAATTGCAATGATTTTTAAATTAAATGAATTGTATACGACTCTTTCAAACTTGCAATATTTCCGTTATAAACATAACCCCTAATTCATTTATCAAAGGTCCTAAACCAAGTTTATTTTACTTTGTTAGCCGTTAAATCGAAAACCATGCACAAAGATTGCAGTAAAGATGAAACATCCCAAAGATTGGACAACTTAATAGAATTACTACACAATGATATGAATGTCTGTCCAGTGAAAAACAACACAAATAACATTGTAAAACTAATAATTCAGAAACAAAAGCAAAAACCAATAAATTTTGCTGTTTTAGAAGGACCTAAAGCTAAAATGTAGCCAGATATCAAGTGAAGTTGAGGACATTAATACGAATTTGCTGAATATCAAAGCCTACAAGATGTTGACAAAGCAAATGGTGATAAGATATGAGGACAAATTAATCACAAGTAAGTAGTGTCATTTTATAATATTGAAAACAGCAAATGCAAAGAAAGAAATTACTTTTCAGTTCCAGCCAAGCAAACAACTCCATTCCAATAAGGATGTTGATATTCTTAGATCTTAAGTTAATTTATCACTGACAAAGTAATGAATGTAAATGCATTTTGAATAAAATTATTTGTCTAATCTGCAAACAGGACTACTTTGAATCATTTGCAGATCCACCTTAGGTCCAACCAAATCCCTAATGTTATTGTATCCGTATTTAATCATTGTCGGCCGCTCTAAACTCAAACCCCACGCGATAACCTTAACATCTTCAGGCAAACCCATCGGCAGCAACATTTCCGGCCGGAAAATGCCTGAATTACCGATTTCAATCCACTTATTCAAACCGGGATGGAAACAGAAGATCTCCATGCTCGGTTCGGTGTACGGATTGAACGCTGGCTTGAATTCCAATTCAGTGATGCCTAACTTTTTGAAGAATTCGGTGAATACGCCGATAAGATCACCGAGCGTCAAGTTATAATCAGCAATAACTCCCTCGACCTGATGGAATTCAGCTAGATGAGTGGCATCGAGTGTTTCGTTACGGAACACGCGGTCAATGCTGAAAAACTTCGATGGTTTGAATTCTTTTTCCTGCGCTAGTGCGTAGAGCATTCTTGCGGACACGGCGGTGGTGTGCGTGCGGAGGAGATTCTTTTCGGCTTCTTCAATTTTCCAATCGTATCCATAACTATAGGAGATTGTAAAAAAATAATTAAATTATTTTAAAATATTGAAAATTAATAGAAGTGTACCCCAATGAACCATATCCTCCTTTGCTATGCACATTTTTCACTTTCTCTAAATACTCTTCAGGGAATTTAGAACTAGTTCTTGGATTTGAGATGAAAAAAGTGTCATGCGCGTCTCTTGCTGGATGTTGTTGAGGCTGGAACAACGCATCGAAGTTCCAGAAGGAATTTTCAATGAAATTATTCGTCGGCATTTCGGCGAATCCCATCTCCAGGAAGATTTGCCTGAATTCCGAGCGCACTTTTAATAAAGGATGTAAATATCCACAATCCAGTTGACTGCCCTTAGCATTCAAGTTATAATCCTTGAATTTAAGACTTTTCCAGCTGCCAGAGAGCAACATTTCTGATGTTAAATCAGTTTCAAGTTTGTTCAAGGTTAAACTAAACTCTGGACCTTTAGTTAAATCAAAACTCTTGACTACAACCTGTTGGGTGAGTTTTCTTTTCTTATATTCCTGCAGTTTTGCATCAGGTATGTTAGACAACTGACCGGATTTTATTGCTGTTAAGTGAGTCTTAACAACATCATCAATACTATCAACCTTCTTTTTTACTAAAGGTGGACCACCTGACTTGTCCACTTGGATCCAACCAGAAGACATTGCTTTAGAAAAGCCAACTTTTGCATTTGGAAGTTTCATGAGCTCAGCTTGCTTGATGCCAGCATCAGGGATTGAGTTAAAGATTTTTGCTTCATGACTTCCTATATTAATAATATATACTTTAATATATGTACTTAAAAAGGATTATAACTGATATGTACCTGTTTCAGCAATTTCAGTGCCCTCAGAAGTGAGTTCCAAAGAAGTCTTGCTGATGACCTCAGCATTGACAAGTTCTCCATTAGCTTGGATACTCTTCAAAGCACCGATTATTTTCTGATGGTCTTCATTGAATACTTGCGCTAGATCCAAGGTGTTTAAGGACTGTTTGGTGGACAATTCTTGAAGAATTTTCTCCGGCAGGTTCGCCATTTCGAGGTTACTTTGGTTTTCAAGACAAATTGACTTGAATTAAAGTTATAATACAATGGCAGGTATCACTGCTACTTCATAAATATAGGTGAATAATTTATTAACTGTATACTACAATAATAAATATTGCGTCTGATTCAGTGTAACATGCTGCATTTACTTTTGTTACGCGAAATCGTAAAGTATTGCAAGATGTTAAAAGTAAATCAGTGACACACCGCAGCAGGAAAATCTAGAACTAAAGTCTACAGTTGGCAATACCAACCTAATAGTAATATCATTCATATTTTGCCACTTTGCAAATAAATGATGTAAAGATATTGCGTATACATTTATTTACACTCTTAAAATTTTGTATTAGAATCAGTTGCGTTTTTATAATTATTTTTATAATAAATTTCATCAAATTATTTATATGTCAGTAGTGCCAATAGCAGCAACGCAGAAAAACTTCACCAAACGTCATCTCCTGAGAGTATTCTGGTTGCATACATCAACAAACCGCGGAGTGCCGCTGACGAATTGTTAAATTAAGAATTGAGCGAGATACAATGTCGCTAAAATAAAATTTCGTACAACTTTTGCAGGCGTTAATCGTTTAGTTTGTACATAGTTAATTGCATAGCTCTTAGTTAACGTAAATTCCAGTTGTATTCACAAAATGAGCGCTGTGAATTTGGAGAAAATCGATGAGAAATTGTCCGCGCAAGGATGGTAAGACACGTTTGTTTTACCGCTAAACTTGGCAATAATCTTTCACGTTTAAGGTTTATATCGACGGAGGGACTGCAACAAATCACGCAGAATGGAAATGTTAAAGATCTCCGAGCAATAACTCAAAATGCTTTAGATGTAAGTTGTCACAATCATTTTTGATGCCAGAACAGTTTGACATTTTTCATAATTTTAGAGTGATTTAAAAGAAATAGGTAAAGCAATTCTAGCTGAGCAATTGGCGAAAAAGTTAGTAAACAATGTGGTATTACAAATCCAAAAAACCAAAAACATCTCTGCCCCAAAAGCCAACGAAGATTCTCAGGCCGCGCCGCGAATGCTGAAACTGAACCTAACTGACGGCCACACGCACTGCCAAGCAATCGAAATCGACAATATTGGAGGCTTAAGTCTGCATAAAACTGCGCCAGGCACAAAAGTTCTGCTTAAAAACGCGCCTGTTATCAATGGCTTCCTCTTTCTTAAGCCTGAAATGGCTATTGTTCTTGGAGGAAAGGTGCAAGCAATGTTTGAAAAATGGGAGGTGAATAAAAACATGTCTAATGTGAAAAGAGGCGATGATGCAGACGGTCCACCGGCGTGGGTTAACTTCGGCCGGAAGATCGCTGGATCGGAAACGAAAGATTTTAAATCTTTAGAGGACAAAACAAGCAAAGAAGATGGTAAACCCACTGAGTTTGATGTGCAGCGAAATGTTGCCATTGCCGAAGCGACAACCGGGGCTGTAAAAAAAGTGTTTGGCGGTGGAACAAAACCTTTGATGAAGGAGGCCATCGACGGATATGGATATAAACGTGAACCAAGGGAACCCCGAGAACCAAGAGAGTCTAAAGAAGGCGATCGAAGAGAATTTCGCGATAATCGCGAACCGCGAGACAGAAACAATAAACCAGAACGGCGCAATAAACGTGAACCTAAAGGTGGCAAGGATGATGTTGTAATGGCGAAACCATCAGATAAAGTCTCATTATTTGCATTTCTCGAAGATAAATTACCCGAAACAGCACAAGTCGTGCAAACACCCCAACCTCAACAAATTCAACAAAAACCTAACAATTACAATCAGAAAGGAAATTCAAACTATAACAACAAAGGCCAACAGCATGAAAAATACGATAGGTATGATAATAAATACAATAAGTCCGGAGATTATCCTTCGAAGCAATCCAATCACTACCAGAACGATTACAACAAATCTGGTCATTATCAAAACGATTACAAGTCGAATAATTATCAGAACGACTACAAGTCCGGCAATGGAGGCAACTACAACGATTACAAATCCGGTAGTTATCAGAATGACTACAAATCGTCTTCCTCAAATTATTCGAGAGATAATCGGCGAGGTAATCAACCGCCACGTCTTCAAAACAAGCCTGTTCAGCAACCCGCACAACCTCAGTATAACAATCAACAATATCAGCAATTTCCACCCGTGCAAAACTTTCACAGCACACCGGCGGCTAATTCACAGAATGTTGATGATCTAGCGAACAAAATGGACCGTCTGAATGTCAACGCTTCGTTTGCGAAAAACGCGTTTAAGCAGCATCTCAACTTGCCTAATCAAAGTGCCCCAAAGAGCAATAACGTTGATGTGGCGGTCGGCGCGTGGAAATTCAATATTGGCGATTTGTGTATGGCGAAGTATTGGGAGGATAATAAGTATTATAATGCTACGATTACAGGACTCACGCCGAAGACCTGCGTGGTCAGGTTCAATGAGTATGGCAATATGGAGGAAGTATTGTTGGAGGATTGCTTGCCTGTTTCCAGTGAAGATAATGTAAATACTGGTAGTGTAAAAGCAGCTAAAGTTTCAAATGGTGTGTAAGATTTAAAATAATTTTGAAAATATTAATGATTCTGTTTGTTTTCTTTTGTTTAGGTAATGAGTATCGAGGTAATCGCAACTTTGTGAATCGCAATCGACGCCATTAGATGAAATGAATAATTCGAAACATAACACAAGTTAAACAAAGAATTAGGAAATACAATTGTAATTGATAAGTTTTTGAACTTACCATTGTTTGTACTAAAAGTTATAAATATAAATCGAATCACTTACTAAAACACTTGTTTTAAAACTCCACACCAACGCTTTCTCTAGAATGTGCGTCAACAATGATGCATGAAAAACGACACGAGCCGAAAATTCCCGAGAATAGCTATCACAGTTATTTAAACTTAGTTGAATATAATCGATTGTTAAATTATCTATAGATAAATTGTGGTTATTTATAAAGCAGATAACTACATCGTTTTATTATTTGTTATTAAATTAAATTTATAACAAAGCCACGTGTTTAGAAAAAAAACGGAAAAAGCCTCAAGGTCATAACTGTCACACTTGTGATAACTCGATTGTTGCCTGCCGCTGTCATTTCCAATCAGTTGCAAATGCGTTTTGCAACAGAACAGCGTTACAAAAGAGTATGTCCAACAAGTATTCGCCCCTTGTGCGTGATAAAACCGTTGAACAAACTCCAACAAAATTAACGCATTGAATTTCCGCGTGCACTTTAAATCATGGACCTGCTCTCGCCCGTATCGGACGACGAGCGCGAGGATGGTGAGATAGTCGACGATGACTTAGAAGACATCTCCGACTATTCGATACCATCGAGCGGTAAGTCTGATTATAGTGAGGGCATAATCCGAGCAATTTCTTTGAGCAGCATTAGCGACTGCGGCGACCGCGATTACAGCGAGCGCAAGGCACTGCTGAAGGCGCTGACGGAGGCCGAGAGTGTTCCGCGTCGCTGTCGACGAGCCGCCTTGAAAGCGCGCACCAAAACCTCATCGTCATCTGTGGGAAGCCACAAGCGACGACGGCATGCCATCCAGGAAGCGACACGAACGCGCAAACATCGCCGGAAATCCTACAGTCGATCGGCGAGCTTATCATCCAGCTCGGATTCGAGCCTTGATGAGCGCGCCATGGATAGGCAAACATTACAACAGCTGAACAAGGCCGTTCGCATTGATACTAACAATACGACGGACGAAATCAGTCACAAGACGTTAAAAGATCGCCTTAAACGAATGATGCAACCGGACGTGGAGGAGAATTTGGAATCAAGTGTGAAAGAAGACAATTATGCAAGATTAGATGAAACTTTTGATAAAGAACTTGAAGAATTAAGGTTACAAGCTCTGAAATCAGCAATGCTTAAGAAACACATGGAGAGGAAGAAGAGAAAAGAAGCAGAAAATGCTAAACTAGTGCAGGAAGGGCAAGAGTTGAACTCAAATGACAAAGAAAACGAAAATAATTCAAACAATCCCTTAATAGAAACTAAGACAATAGAAATTATAGATGTAGATGAAGATCCCGCTGAAATCACTGTCGATGATGACTTGGACATTATGCGTGCGATGTTGTTAGCATCAATGTCGAACAAAATCACAACTGAACAACCCTCCCCCAATCCCGTTCAACCCCTAAATTTAGGTTCCCTTTGCTTGAGTTCCAGCTCAAGCCCAATTCCGCCCGAGTTCGTTGAGAAGAAAAAACTTACATCCAATTTCACTGTACCTCCTGTTAAACCTTTAATTATTCGAGTGAATCATGACTCTGAATCTGACACAGACTTTGATTATGATGAAGAGAATAATAAAAACAAGTTGAGTCCAGTTGAGAAAACCACCACGACGAAAATTCAATCATCCGTTGAAGAATTCCTGCGCAAACAACGCGAACAGTTCGAAGCGAAACTAGCGCAGAATGAAACTAAGGAAACATCATTAGATAAATCCTTCCTCAAATTGCTGCCACAATCACAACAACAAGAGTACAAATTGTTGCGAGAAAAATTGCTGCAGGCGAAGAAGGCCAGTAAAAACCCGACGACGACGACAACCAAAGAAACCAAAGACAAGAAAGACAGGTATGAATGTGTGTTTTTGTATTTGCACACTTTTTGATTTGTTTTGCAATCCGCTGTAATTCTGTAATGCCGAGCACAGATCGCAGCCGAAAGGTAAGTACAGAGAGCTGGCGCCCCTCGTGCGGAAGATCAATGCAGAGCTGGCAGCGCAACGCCGGCAAGAAGAGCGCGTCACCCTCTTGCAGGAGCAGTTGAAGGCGACGCGCGTGCAAGCCGCCCTCCATCAGCGGCGGCACGCTGTTCTGGTAGCGCAACTGAAGAAGGCGCGAGCGATCGTCGATCTGCGGTGGGTAGTTCGGCACGCAAGCTGTTACGTAGTCGCTTACGTGAGTATTTCAGGTGGCAAAAAGCCAAACTCGAAGTCCAACAACAGCAACAGGCAAATCAAAATTCAATTCCACCCAAGGCGGTTGTTGAAAAGGCTGTGAGTGAAAACAACAACGTGAAATCAAGCAGTGCCATAGTCGAAGCGGTTGATACTAGTAGACAATCAGAGATGCATCCGGAAAAGGAACCAGTCCAGGAGTCAACCGTTGTAAATGTTAAAGTTGATTTGGATGTGAATGTACCTGAACCAATGTCATACGTATCGCCTCTGGATAAAAGGTGCGTATGTTGTTTTACTGGTAATAGATGTTTTGAATTCTTATGTGTTTGCAGAGAGGTTGCCACCAGCAGTAATCCATTGCAGACGCTTTGTCCGTACGAGCTGTTCGGCGTGTGCAAGGATACGAACTGCACCTTCAACCACTGTCCGTAACGTATACTCTAAAACACGCTAAATACACAAACCTAAACGAAAAAAGAACCACTTGATACAAAATACATATACCAAATGGTCCAAACTGATCAATCTTAATCTCTAAGGTTTCGAGTACGCAAGGTCCAAGTCAACTCAATTCTCGTGATTGATAACTACAAGTGACATTCGACGCATTTGCCATTTTAAATAATTATTATAACTATTTCTACTACAGTGGATTGTTTTCCAGATTTGTTGCCAGACGAGCAGTCATTGTTAAAAGCAACACAGTGTAGCATATAATTGTATCAATGCTGTCAATTGCGGCACACAAAAACGTAAATCAAGCGAATTTAGCCAAAAAAAAATTGTTGTACAGTAAACGTGTTATTACTTCTTTAAGTGAAAGAGTGTATATCAGATGTGAGCTGCAAGACAATTCTTATGTAATATGCGACTAGATTGTGGTCGGACGAACGTTCAATAAACGATATTTTTTGTAATACTTCAATTGTCATTCACTACACTACACTAATATTAATAACCAAGCGTCTAATATAAAATAAAAACGGAAATAATTTATTTAAAATGGAACTGAAATTCTCACTCATCTTCACGCGACAATAACTAAACAATTTAGACACCCAGACGAAAAAATGACAGCCCTACAGCTTGTACTTATCCTTGGCATATTTATGCTTCTTGCAGTCGTTGGGCAAATCCCCGGGGAAAGTCCCATTCTCAATCTGACCCTCCCATCTATCAACCCAGAACTTGGGGCAGATGCAACTGTAGATTTTTCGAAACTGATCGCACGGTTCATGGCTAAACCAAGTTTTAAAATTAAGTATTAATAATTAACCGGTGATTAAGATTGTGTACCCTTCATCAAAGAGCTGAATGCAGCGATGATAGTCCCTAAACATTTGAAAACACCAGTAGGAACAGTTTGTGTTCGGAAAACGTGCGTCTCTCGGCGCAGTCTTCGGCATATCTTGTTTAATGCGCGCTTCTTCTTCGTAATCATCGACCGGTTCCTTATAGAATGATAATTATGATAATTTTTTGGTGTGATGTAAAGATTAAATAGGTTGATGGCGCTTACTGGCGGTGGTGGTTCCTCCTGTTGCTTTTTCGGCATGTTTCAATAATTTGTGTTTATTTTCCCCTTCGGTGTAAAAATACAATACAAAAAGAATGCGGTATAATGAATGTGGTATACGTTCACGCTAAATGATGATTTTGTGCAAGTGTCAGGCGCTGAAATGCCACCACAAACGCCAACACGGGTAGATAACTAGATTACAAGTGTTTTATTTTAATTATTATTTGGATTTGACTTTCCAGAAACACAATCTGCGATCGTCGCCCACACACAGCACAGGAAGTCGACTGTGCCAAGTAACATTCGTCGGTAACTGTATCGGAACATTTAATCTCTGCTGTAAAGTGTGAATATGAACGACTTTCAGTGATCCTTCGAGTTTGTTTACAGCGGCGACTAGTTCGCCTAGTGCACTGAATCGCAACGAGCCGCCATGTTGAGTAAATAACAGTTTTTGCTTAGGACAGCTGGGTTTAGTTACGTCCCACAGGATGAGCTCGCCCATTTGCAATGAGCCGAGAAGTTGCGAATCGGAGGGGGCCCAGTGGACGTCGTAAAGATTTTTGCGCACGTCGAGTGACATAAGCGCTTTTTGCGTGTTTATGTTATAGAAGCGAATGATGCCGCATTTCTCAGCCACAAGCAGTTTGGATACGTCCTCGCGGTGCCAACAAGTTGCCATGCCTTGGATTATGACAACAAAAAAAAAACAACATTTAGGAAAAACTAATCTAAAAACTAGTTTAATCTAAAAATCTAACACAATTTCTTCATTTAAAGGCCGCCATTTTGTCACTATCCAAAAATATCCGCTCAGAATGCGCACACATATTAAAAAGCAATAATTTGAATAGTTTGTCCACTAACCTGGTGATGACAAGATGAAAGTAGCAACACACTCATGATCCTCTGGAATAGACCAAACCCTACAGGTGTTGTCATCACTCACAGATGAAATGTAATTATTCTCTGGATCATAAGCCACAGCATTTATATAGCTTCTATGACCAACCAAGTCCTTGTGAACCTGAGCCTCTTCTGAAGTGCCAGTGCAGGAGTAGACTCTCAAGTTAAAGTCCTTTGTGTCGGCCACACAGAACTGAATATGTATTGGCAGAGTGCTGATGCATGCATCTGGAGAAATTGACAGTGCTGTGTATGCTCCACTGTATTCAATTTCACATAGTTTCTTTAAACTTATGGTGTCCTAAATTAAATATTGGAGGTGATGTTAGTTACAATGTTTATTTATTGTTGTATAAAATGATTCAAACCTGAATGGAAACTTGGCCGACAATAATAAGGTCTTCCAGAACTACAATTATTGTGTCTTGACTCCATTCATATGGTGAAAAGTGGACTGATTTGATGCTGCTTGTTTCCTGGAGGTCTATGAAGTTTACTTGCTGGTCGTTTGTTTGGTTGGTGTGTTGTACACTTCGATTTAAATTCATTTTAATTGTTGTCTTTAAGTGTTAACAAAATTCACTGCAGTTTACCGCTAACTTTGTTTATGCAGGTTAGAAAATTGAAAATGTGGGAATTGATGTAATGTAAGTTGCATACTCAGATAACTAAATCAAACTGAAATATATAAATTGTATGGGTAAATTAGATATTATTTGCACTCAACAACCGTTATCATTAACAAAAATAATCTTATTTAGATTATTTATCACTAAGTTTGCGGGTTGGTCTCTCGCTCTAACAGTTCCACATTCTCGTGTAGATTAACTTTTTTAATTGCGGTTTTATTTCAACTGTTTTAAGTATAAAAATAGAAAATATTTATAATTGAACTCATTAACATTCTAAACCAAATAATTGCAAAACTCTTAACATGTTCCTCCAATATTGAGATTCACATAAAATACTCTTTTTGTAAATTTAATTAATACTTAACTTGCACCTTACTTATTTCCATTCTTTTTGAACATGGCTTTTGCCAAATCTTTCTCTAACTTTGACTCTTTAGCCTTCGCCTCCTGAATCTTCTTATACAAAGCCAGAATATGCGGGTCAGGCCGATCATAGGAACTGCTCTTTGCTGCCTTACGCAGCATTTCTTCAGCGCCAATAAGATCACCCAAACCAAACAACGCCTTAGAATGATTGTAATACACCCTACCGTCCACAGTCCGGTAAAAAGTGTTGCACAACTTATCGATTTCCTTACAATTCAAGCAGCATTTCTCCCAGTGATCCAGGTGATTATGAGTAATCGCAAGATTCGTATACAATCGAATAAGCAAAGTCACATAATCCTTCTCTTGCTCATCATCCGCCACAGTGACATTCGATAAAATATTGATTGCATGGTTGTAATTACGAATCGCAACCTTATTTTTCTTCTCAACAGCAATCAAATGTTTTGCTTCAGCACAAAGCGCCAACGCCTTTTGATAATTCTTAGTGAAATCTTTAGAATCTCTCATCTCTTCATCTTCTTGATCATTGTCAGTAAGAGGAACAAAACTTAAGAGTTCCACTTCAAAGAGAATTGTTGCTTTGGGTGGAATACGAGGTGGAATGCCATTCACACCATAAGCCCATTCTGGTTTAATGAGGAATTGAGATTTTTCGCGGATTTTCATTGAAGTGATTGCCACTCCAAGGCCATATAGAATATTATCAATGCGAGATATTTCAGGCTTTCTACGAGTGTAAGTGGAATCAAAAGCCAATGCTTCTAATTCCTGATATGCTTTATAATGGTAAGTAACTTTGCAGTTCTTTGGAATGACATCACCTTTACCCTCGCGGAAAATGCGCTTTTTTACCATACCTTGCTCATCCAAGGCAGTCATGAGAGGTTCAATATCCTCAAAAGGAACTTGGTCATATTCATAAAGATCTTCATCCTTTAAGTTAACTTGGTCAAGTTGACCAGTGAACTCGGAACCGATATCATCATAATCATCGGAGTCGTCATCATTGGCGTTGTCGTCGAATGTGGTTTGGAATGTGAAGCCCTTCTCAGATAGCAATTCACTACAAATTTAATACATGTGTACTTTTGTATGTGTTCTAACCATGTAACATATTATGACTTAAATGTTATTGATATATATATATATATAGAAACTTACTTCATATTCATTGGTTTGTCTAGAATTACTGGTTTCGCAGCCATCGTTAGAGAAGCACAGGTTCAGAAATTTAAAGATTGATTAATATTGTTAGCAGTGAATTGCTATTAACAAGTTGGCGCGATGTAAAAACAGCTGAATGAGCGTTTTTCCATACTTGCTTTCACGTGTGTCGTGATTATTGTTGTGTAATGTAGGCAATTATCTTTACAATTACAAGAATTAAATTGATTTAAATAATCAATTTATATTATTCGCAAGTAAATACAACTAAATATTTGTTCACATTAAACATTTATATGTATTTAATTTGTGTATTATATTATTATAATTTTAAAATTATTCTTTTGATCGTTGAATAATATGCTGAGTAAAAATGTGCATTGAAAGTTGCCTAACTCTAATCATAGCCTAATTCAACGTCAACGTCAACAATTCGTTTGTTATCCATGATAAAACCACCAAATATACTAAATAATATCCGTGAATAGTCCAAAAATAAACCATGGCTGAGCTAAAAGAAGTGCCCACTGAAGAGTTGCTTTCTTTTCAAGACTATCCCTCAACACACGCAACAAATCCGTATGGAAATGATGGCGGTGCCCAAATCAACTTGGATATGAGTCCACAGAAATCAGCCTTTCCAGATTTCAATAGTCCAGACTCCAATCTAACGGAAACACCACGAGATGAAGACAATATAGGTATTATGATCACACACTCATTTTATAAAATAACATTATAAACATTCCTGAATGTTTTGTAGACTCAAACAAGTTGAAATCCTTCTGGTCAATTGAATATTTCCAACAATTCTTCGATGTGGACACACAGGACGTCCAATCACGCATTCTAGGCTCAATCATTCCCGCTAGAAACGCCCTACTACAACAAGAAATCCACTTGAAACCAGATCTCTATGGTCCCTTCTGGATTGCAGTGACTTTAGTCTTCACAATTGCCATCAGTGGAAACATAGTCAACTATCTTCAGTATCATAATGATAACTACCACTGGAGATATGACTTCCACCTAGTATCATATGCAGCAAGCATTATTTTCTTGTATATTACATTAGTACCAGTATGTCTATGGGGCCTACTAAAATGGTCACTTAATGATAATGAACTAGAAGAATTCAAAGAAACGTTACCCGGCGCGCTAGAATTGATTTGCATTTATGGTTATTCACTATTTGTGTATATACCAGCTGGAATCCTCTGGACTATACAGATTGGCTGGTTACAATGGCTTCTTGTTCTTGTAGCTGCATCAGTCAGTGGCAGTGTGTTATTATTCACATTATCACACTCATTGAAAAACTCCAGACATAAAATTGTCTTGGGCGCTTGTATTGGCGGTCTGCATTTATTACTGGCTGCAGGTTTCATGTTGTTCTTTTTCCATGTGAATGATGCTGCGATTGTTGAGCCGAGTGTTACAACTTCGCATGCTATCGTCAAGGAAATAGTTAATGCTTCACACGCAGTCCATTCAAACAATACAAATACGCATTAATCTTAAAAATATTAACTGCTTTTGTATAAATCTAGTTTATGCGCCCTTCTGATTTGTTTCAAACGTTACTATTTGTTTGTGATAACGATGAATAAGATGTGAATGGAGTATCTGTCCAATTTGTATCTTGTTTATATAATTAATATGAATATACTTATAATCTAATAGATGTACAATCGTAATATACAATGAAATTAAAATGTTAGAAAACATACGTTATCAAATCGACTGCAAGTGCAAGTGCATCACATCACATCTGCTCTCGTTTCTCATCATCATTTTATCAGTTCCCCCCAATTAAGTTCTATATTTATGCCGGCTGAGCCTTGACACCGTGCACGGACGCAATTCATCGCTCAATGTAAAATATTTAAATGTAAGTTGTTGGGTTCGAGTCCAGTGCGTCGTATAGCCGCCACGGTCTTCGCTCTGCACCTCAGTTGGTTTTTGTTTGCTTATATTAGTGATTAGGACTAGCTGACCGTCGCCGCTGAGTCATGTCAATATGGTATGCGGAATGGCACGACAAGGTCCTCTTTGTGTTCGATTTTGATTGCTTTTATCGCTGTCGCTGCTTTCGACACCGCCGTCGTGATCTGGAACACGAAATTGTCACAAGTAATTAAATTAGATTATGTTTACCAATGCAAGTTCTCATTATTTTCATTCATAAATGAAAACAACGCAATACAACACTCGAAATCTGTGCATTTTGTGAGCTTGTGTGTAGTTATCTTGCATACAACAAAAGTGATTGTAATATTTCTGCAGAATATAGAATAGTTTTGTACTTTTGATCAAAAATTCTAAAAATACTTACATATTAGGTTAAAATATTAATTTTTGTTAATATAATGTTATAAAAATTATCTTACGAGATCATAATCCTCTTGACTTATTGGCGTCGATGAGAGCATTTTATCCGCAGAAGGAACATCTTGCAGCAGCAAGCATTTACTCCTTGCACCCGTCCGACTATTTGCATTAACCTGCTGAATTCGCATATTGTAAATTTTTTTCCTCTCTAAATACTCATGCTGCTGCAAGTTGTGTGAGTCGAGCGCAGCTACATCAATAACATTCCTGTGAACAAACAAATCAAATAACAGTTTAATTACACTAACACACTGATGAAATATCATTACAAAATGTTGAAATTTTAAACATCTATGCATGGATTTATAATATGTTGATTAAATTGTTCAATTGTTCAATGTTCAATGAATATTCAAGTTATTTTTGAATGTTATGCTTGTTTGCTATGTAACATTTAAATCATTGAAAATAAACTAATCAGACTGATAAGAAATAAAGTTACACATACGTTGCTGTTTCCTGCAGGATCCTGTTGAGTGCAGATTGTTCATCAGTCTTCTTGGGAACAGAGTTTGTGTCCTGGTTGAGGAAGTCTTCACTGTTATGCCTTTGAATGTTCACGTTGTTTGTCACCGGGTTGATCAGCAGATGGGTGCGTTCGTTTGGCTCGCCGTTCTAGAGTGTTATCGGTGTTATTTTACGCATAAAGTTATACATAATCAAAACTGTTATGTTAATAAATGTGGAAATATAAAAAACAAAACACACCTGTGAGGCGCCGTCGTCTTTGCAGAAAAAACTATAGCAACAGCCCATCGTGATGCCGACAGTTGATCGTGTTTTGCTATGTGGGCGGATGGTGCGGAACTATTATTGTTGTTCGTTAGTCCATTCCGCTCGTTACCGAGGTTATTCTGAAGTTTATTTTCGGGCACAAACACATATGCACAATGTGCGACAAGTTGTCCAAGTTGTGAGAGCAAATGACACCCATGTGATGTCAAAATAAAAAAACCTGAGTGTAACAAAAATTTACCTATAAAAATTTATAGATAACAACTAAATTTATACAGAAATAACACAAAAAATTATATTATTATTGTTATAGCATATTAATAAATTATTGTTATATAACATTTTATGTTTTCTTTGTTTTTAACTCAATTTTTACGTTTTGCCCTTCAAATGACTCTGTGACCATAATATTGCCATAGGCAACCAGCAAAACAGTATTATCGTTTACGTTCATGCCGCTTATGCGGTAATCATTAATCAACGTCTTTAAAATATAAAAAATCGTTGAATTAAACATGATTTAATTGTATTTCTACGGGTAAATAGTGTTTAGAATTGATTAATAAAGATGTGGCACGAAGCAAGGAAGCAGGAGCGCAAAATACGCGGTATGCTTGTCGATTATCGCAAGCGTGCTGAAAGACGCCGAGATTTCTATGAAAAAATCGTAAGAATAATCTATATACGACTAAATTGTTTATATAAATAATAATCCTTTATATTTCTGTTGAGTAGAAAGCAGATCCCACTCAATTTCTGCAAATACACGGTCGTCAATGCAAAATCCACTTGGATCCTGCTATTGCCACAGCTGCAGAAGGGCCTGCCACAATGTATGTGAATTATTTTACATAATTGACCCTAGAAATCATTTATATAATACTTATGTTATTAGGATGCCATGGCAAGGACAAACTGATAACCTCATAGACAGATTTGATGTTCGAGCTCATCTTGATTTCATCCCTCCAGTGTCTGCAAAAGCTGAGGAAGATGTAACCTCAGAAGAAAGACAATTGAATTATGAACGATATCGAATCATCGCCCAAAATGCGTTTCTCGGTATTCACGAGGAGAAATTCCTGAAACAGTTGCACCTAGAGGAACAATTTGGTTACACTGAAAATGAACCCAAGAAAAAGAAACCAACTGGTGGTGCAGCCATCGGTTTTAATTATGAAGACAGCACAGGTGTTGCTGGCTCATCATTTCCACCAGCACCTCCCAATGTTGGTACAAGTTCTGTTAACGAAGAAGAAGCATCCGATGATAATTCCGATAGTGATTTAGATGTAGATTTATCAATTAATATCTCAAAAATTGACTCTGCGCAAGCTCACGAGATGAATCGTCATGGCAGAAATTTCGGAATGAGCTCAAATGATTTCTACTCGTTTTTAACGAATGATTTAGAAGAAGCGGAAAGTTTCAAACTTGCTAAAGAAGAAGAACATGAAAAAGCATTGTTTTCCGGACGAAAATCACGAAGAGAAAGACGAGCACATAGAGAAAAACGTCTTGCGAATAGAAAAATAAGTCCGCCAAGTTACGCAGCGAAAGAAAGCCCGTCTTTTGCGGTAGATATGCATGACAAGTCCGAATCACGATCACCATCGCCTGATAACTCAGGAAAAATCACATTTATCACCTCATTTGGAGACGATGAGGAACCACAGGTGCCTGTTAAGCCATCATATGCCGATAAAGTAAAGTTTGGTGCTAGATTGAAAAAGTTACGGCAGGAGAACTGCAACCGGCCGGAATTCCCTGAATCCAACCGAAAAGAACCGACAAATTTCAAGAGTCTACGTCGTAATCGTTCAACTTCAAGGAGTAGAAAAATCCGACCGAGAAGATCAACTTCGTCAAGTTCATCATCACGTTCCAGGTCTAGAAATAGGTCTAGGTCTAAATCCAGGCGTAGATCTAGGTCTAGATCAAGATCTAAACGTAGAAGAACATCACGGCGACATTCCAGCACAAGCTCAAGCAGAAGCTCATCCAGTTACAGCGCTAGGAGACGAAGAAGTCGCGATTATACAAGGAATCGTCGTTCCAGATCATCGTCAAGTTCTTCATCACGCTCCAGAAGTAGTAGATCGTTGTCAAGGTCAAAATCAAAAAGCAGAAGCAAATCAAAGTCAAGAAGTCGAAGTAGTTCTAGTTGTAAATCAAGAGATGCTGATAGATTTAAATCGAAATCACGGTCACGATCTCCATCACTGTTGAAAGATGAAGAATTGAATAAACATAATTCACCCGAGAAGGAAGACAATAAAGAACTGAGTGTTAGATTAGAAGGGAATACAAAACAGGATAATTTGGAAGATTTAATGAAAAATAGTTCAAATTCAAACGATGGAAGCATTCCAAAAGCAGAAGAAAGCAAAACTGATGAAGTGAGGCCATTGCCAAGGTACTATGGACGAAGGAAATCGGATCAAAGTTCATCCGAAATAGGCGATTCCAGTGATGAGGATAGCAATGAGAGTCCTAAGTAATTTTGATAAATTTTATCCTGGTTTTGTTTAATTATTGAATTGAATGTTTGTTTCAGGAGCACACAAACAAGTAATAGTAATCTCAAGATTGGTAATTCAGGCACAGCAACCAAAGTCAGTAAGAACCTCTCAAAAGTACCGAAAACAGACATTTATTTCATTCGTTCAACTTCATTCATTGTTTCAATGCGTTTTGTCTGCGACCGTGTTGTTGACACACGCATTTTTGTCAACTGGCTGAGTGTCGAGAACATTTTTGAAGAGTTTTCTGTTTCAGGGCGGTGCGAAATCCTCCGCGATCATGTCACTTGCCGAACGCCTTAAGAGGAAACGACAGGCTTTATTAAACAAACAATGTAATTAAAATTTACTCCTTAACCAAGTTAAAAACAATATAATTATTATTTTGATTTATAGTTAAAGCAGATAAAATTGCGGAACAAATGAAAACGGAACGCGAGAAGCAAGAGCAACAAACGCGCGAAGATGAATTACGCGAATTGGCGCTGAAATTACGCAGAAAGTAAGCTGGAAATAACCAATAACAAAATGAACATTAATTAATATTAAAATATATTTATTGTTAATTACAGGCAGCGTGAACGTCGACATGCCTATGACAGCGACTCATCGCATTCTAGTTCGAACTCGCGTTCGAAGTCCCCGTCACAATCACCAAAAACAAAGCGAAGTCGCAGTTCGTCGGTGAAGAAGGACCGCGCACGTTCGGATAGACGCGGTGATCGTGACAGGGACGAGCACAAGGACCACGCACGTCGCTATACGGATAGTAGTCGTGATGGGCGCGATTACGACCGTGAAAGAGACCGCGAGTACGAACGCGAGCGGGAGCGAGATCGCGACCGCTGGGAGCGAGATGATATTAGGTCTAGGGATAAGGACAGGGAGCGGGATAGGGATACGCGTTACAGACGGCCGCGCTACGAGGAGAAGCGTAACGACGACAGGTATTACAAGGACGAGCGTCGAAGAGATCCGAGAGACGGGCGTGAGCGAGACAATCAGAATCAGAGTCAGAAGAGGTCGTTGGTTGATTACTGATGGAATACTGCAGAGGGTGGATGTGTTTTTCTTCTTTTTTTCATGTTCTTGGTGTGGGTTTCAGGAGTTTATTGCTTTAATTGCTCAAATTATTTCAATAATCCGTGGATTATTAGGTATTTCTATCTCTTTAGATGTTTTTCGTCAGGTTGCGAAATAATTTCAATAAAAATATACATTTATACATGATATAAGTGTTTTTTAAAGAAAAATCAAAAGTTTGGTTAATAAACATGCATAAAATGATACTGCGCATGCGTTACTTGAAAATTTTTATAAAACTACGCATTTGTGATAATTCTCTGATGTTAGTTTTAACTTTTTACCTTTCTCATTTTGAGGAAATAAAATTAAAGTAAGTTGGCGGTACGCAACTCACGTGTTTGATGGCATTGCGAGCTTCCCGAAAAGGACGAGAATGGGATGGCTGGGAAGAAACCGAACGTCGCCCCTGGGACATCGCATAAAATACGCTGGCGATCGTAAAACTCGTAAAACTAGCCAAAAGCCAGCCCCCGGTTGGCGCTGCCACTGGACGCACCTGAGACTCGCCACGGCCGCCGCCCTCGGCGCGCGCGTGTACTTAAAGTTTCAACCCCTTTTCCTTAAACCGCTCGCCGCCCGAAAACGCGCACGTTCCGAAGAGTTATAACGGAAAACAACCGGCATAAACCACGCGCGCTCCCCAAGCCAGCGCAAATAATTACGAAAGTATTTTCATGCGCGCGAGTGAAAACCTGCGGCGCAAGGACACAGCTGAGCAGTTGTTTAATCTAAAATATTGGACGGGCCATTACGCGCCGCGGGCAAACACCGGTGAAAAAGCGTCAACGATAAATTATCACCCGGGGCTGAATCTTGAGACACTGCAGTCTCTTCTAAAGCGGAGCAATCAGGAAGCTATCAGAAGAATGTGGCATATTTGACGGCTAGCGTGAAATATTGACCGGAACAATTCGATTCGCAACCATGTTGTGATGTTTAAAAAGTTTTTCATCGATTCAACGGCTGGAAATTGTTTTGGGACACTGGGAAATGCAATTTATCTTGCTTAGATCTTTTAATCCCATTGAATATTGACGAAAATCAATAAAACATGACCAAAATTTTGAAACGTATATCAAAATATTTTAATATATAAAATATGCACGCAATATCTTAAGGAATGCAGTATGCAAGCGCATAAAAATCGGATAATCATCGAGAGGAAATTGAATTTCCAACCGCCGTGCACAGAGAGCACTTCGTAAATGAAAGCACGGCCAATAAACGATGGTAAAACACTGAGAAAAATAAAACGAAAGCTTTTAGCAACTGCCGACAGCAGTAAAACAAGAGTAAATACAAAGTACAAGCAAGTCGCGGTAGCAAATGGACAAAATGGACACAAATATCGACGAGGCCGAACGGAATTGAGAGAAAACAGAGAAAACAGGACGACCGCGGCCAATCGCAAACAGTGTGCTCGATACCAAAGGGCAGTAGAGAGGTAATACAACAGCGAGAGTCAAGAGGAAGGATGCGGAAGGCAGCAAACAGGGAAAATAGTGGTGTAGAGCGTCCTGCCATTCTCGTATTGCTGACTGCGACTCCCCGAGGAATCGGAAACTCATTACGGTCGTCTTTGACCCGTGCGGCCGTGCGTCCAACGGGCAGGTCTCACGGGGATGCGGAAAAGAGTCGAGCAGGCAATTTTCGGTGGAATTCAACATTGAAATGGGAAAACTACATGAAAACAACAAAAACTTTCTATAAATGAATTGCGTAACATATTACCTTCTACCACACACTGTCAAAATGAGCCATTTTTGATATTTGACAGAAATTTTGACAGCAGAATAATTTGTAGGTTATAAATAACCAAGAAAGTAAGAAGAAACGTGTTTAACGATAAAAGAAAACAACTTTTAACAAAAGAAACGCGGAAAATGAAATAAAACTAGAAAAACTCACAACATAACCTCAACATAACCTTATATAACTACTGTGTCTGGAATTTGTTCGTGTATGATCCAAGTTAGCAGGTAATAAATAATTCACAGGCATTCAGAAAAAGCGACTTCCTTCCGTGGCTCATTGCATCCTGCACACACACATGCGCGCGTCTTTACGATTCGCGAACGGATGGCGCGCATTAAAATCGAAGCTGGCATTAATTCCATCTCGTCTGCTGCGGCGCATGCATACTTCATGCGTGGGTTACGACGATCAAATCAACGAAACCCGCCGAATCACGCCGCCACAATGCAGCAGCAAACAACCACCAGCGCCGAATGTAACATTCGATAAAAATAAAAAGCGTCTCCGCTTCCGATCGCATCTCATTACGATTATTACCTCGTGCATTCCGCGTCAGTCATACTCGCATTCTCGCACCGGCTCGTAAAAAACAAGCAAACGGTCGTGATTTTCCCGTCGCGGAAACAAAACTACCGAATGGTGAGTATGTACGTACATGATTTTTATGTTTACTGTTTAGTGTTTACCCCACAGGATGAAGACGGCAAAAAAAACCCGGGCGAAAATAAAAGAAAAACACATTTGTGTGACTTTTGCTCAGAAAAACCGCCCCTCTCGTGAGTCCCATGTCTTTCCGATGTCCCGATGGCCTGATGTGATCTGCTCGGCGAACATAATGTTATATTCTGATCAAGCTATAAAATCGTCGCGGGGGTTGCGCGTCCGCTGAATGAGAATTAGGTTGTTATTGGAAGTTTTGCCTCCGTATGTTGTCGATTTCGGCGCATAGTTTGCGGGTGTAATGCGAGGCAATGAAATGCAATGGCAATGCCAGAGCCATGAAAAATGCAAACGTCGCGCGCGCACCAAAGTATGAAACATAAAACGGGGGCGTGCGGGGGCGAAACTGACCCTCTGAAGTTACCCCCGCTTCGCAGTAGAAAAGTCGAAATATGTATAAACTGCCGGCATTCCGGCCGAGGACATCGAAAATATGTGCAACACGATGAATTATGCATGCGGCGAACGGCTTTTCGGGCTTTTCATGCATTTCATCATCGATTCGATGTTAATATATTGATGTGAATCATCTAAAATTCATATTTTACTTTCAGTTGCATGTTTAAGTTTCATTCGGCTAATGTTTTGTTTGTTTTGCGCGTGTTTTCCTTTGTTTTACGTCCGAACAAGTTATTGCTCACCTATATGTTTATGTGCTATGCTCCTGTTGGATCCTCCTGGATGACTCGCGTCCTTTTAGTTCGTTTTATTCGCGTGGCGAATGCTTTCGGGATGGTTTCCAGCCGTTATGCCAAACGACGTCGCCCTCGCGCTGTTTCTTTCTTCGTGTACTCGTGTCGCGCGTTCTTTTCCGGCCTTTTCCTGGCGCTGTTTCGACTCCTGGCTGTGTGTCGCCTTCGCACAACTATAAAACCGAATGGCTTTGTTATCATGCAGTCTTCCGCGCGGAATGTGTGTTTTAAAAATAAATACACGACGACGCGGAGGCCCTCTTTATTAGGGACATAAGAAAACAGCATAAAGACGTGTTAACAATGACGCTATTTTCATGTACCTACATGCCGAATGAAAACACCGCGCACAGATGCACTAAATGTGGTTGCCAGTTTAGAAAAATGCATGCAACACACACACTGCATGCATACAAACTAAATATTTTTCGACTTGTTTTTACCTCGTAACCTAAAGTTTATACCGGCTTCGCATGCGCGAGTTTTAGTTTAGTTTTATATTTTGTGTAATGCTGGTTGCATACAGTTAAAATGTTTAGTTAAACAAATATTTGATGATTACAAAAGAAAGGGTTGGAGAATGTTTGGGAGGTTGAGAGTTCACTGAGGCAAGATTGACGAGATGCATTAGCAAATGGACGTTCCATCTTTTCCTCCTGCCGCTTCGTGCCTACATCGCACGAAGGACACGAAGCGGCCACAAAACGACCCTCGCATCCTTCTCTTCGCCCCCACCTCAAGACCGACGTACAGATGTTGCGGACGCGAAAATCTCCCACGTCTTCAACGTCCTCGATTTTAGGACGTTCTGTTACTCCATAGAATGTTGAATGTAATATCAGAGTTTCAAAAATTACAGCAACAACAACAAAACGATAGAAATACTCAGAACACATCAAATTAGTTTAGTTAATTATGTTTATTTATTGATAATAATAATGCACACAATTTGTTAACATTAATAACTTTGTTTACTGGCTTGTACTCGTACCAATCAGTGCAGCGTGTCCTGGCAATTGGATATTGTTAACCGACGCCAGTTTCCTGTCATTTTCATAATTAGAAGAGATAATGACGTTCAAATTTTCAATATCATCAAAGTGGTCGTTCAAATCAACGGTTACAGAATCATCACCAAGATTGAATAGGAATACAACATGATCTTTGTTTAGGTTCCTGGTAAGCAGTAGAACATTATGCTGGTTGGTCAATTTGAGATTACCTTGTCTCAAAGTAGTAGATTCCTTCCTAAAAGCGGTCAAACTCTGATAAATTTTGAAATGTGAGTTTTCCTCAGTTTTCTGTTTAGCCAAGTTGTTCTCGTGGTACTTCTCACTGACAGGCAACCATGTTTCATCAGCAGTTGAAAATCCAGCATTCTTAGTATCATCCCAATGGAATGGTGTACGTTCAAAGTCACGAGACACACGGTCAAAGTCTTCTGGGCGGCCATTGCATGCGCTAGGATCGTGTCCTTGTTCCCAGGTGACTTTACCATTAGGCATGGCTATTTCTTCACCTTGGAAGGTAACTGCTACTCCTGGGAGCATGTGGACAAGCATGTTATAACCATCTACGTTTAGGGGATGCACACGGGAAGCCAAACGATGATTATCATGATTACCAACCTTAATTCCAACATAAAGTATTATATTAGGTTATGTTTCTTTGTAATATTATTTATAATGTAGATACGTACCACCCAGTTGGCGGTTTTACCATCAGGCATATTATCTAACCATTCATTAACTTTATCGACGATATCCCCGGCAGTTGAGTCTTGATTAAGCGGGATAAATTGGAAGTTGAAGGTAAAGTGAGCGCCATCACGTTCTTCATCACCATACCACCACATAGTAGCTGTAATATTAGCATAGGCTTCCGTCATCATGATTCTTTCATCTTGTCCTGGCCTGACACTGTTGTATTCATCAAGGAAAGCTCTCATCTGATAGATAACATCATAGGATTTAGGCATGCTGTGTGTGTACCAATGCAGCAGATAGTCATGTTCATATTCAGCAACTCCTGGGTAACCTGATTTGGGTTCATCTTCAAAACCTTGGGATTCACCAATATGGGGCACAGCATCTACACGGAAACCATAAACACCTTTGTCCAACCAGAATTTTAACACATCCTTTATAAACAATTTAAATTGTTAGTATTTTTATTGTTATTGTTATAAAGTTGGTAACTTACCAAAATTTCTTGAACAACTTTGGGGTTCTCAAAGTTCAAGTCAGGTTGCTCCACAGCAAACTGATGCAAATACCATTGTTCCCTAATAGAGCTGTATTTCCACGCAGAGTACTTGAAAACACTCAACCAGTTATTGGGAGGTTCTTGAATACTACCCTCAGGTCCATCCTTCCACACATAGTAATCTTCATAACCTTCAGTGCGGTTTTCCGACAGATAGAACCACTCATGCTGGTCACTAGAGTGATTAGGTACCATATCCATGATAATTTTAATCCCCAACTCATTAGCTTTGGCAATCAAAGCATCAAAGTCTTCCATGGTTCCATATTCATCTTGGATAGCTCTGTAGTCGGAAATATCATAACCAGAATCAACCTGTGGTGATTTGTAGATGGGAGACAACCAAGCAGCAGTCACACCAGCGTCTTTTAGATGATCCAATCGACTGATGATACCTTGAAGGTCACCAATACCATCACCATTCGAATCCATGAATGAACGTGGATAGATCTGGTAGAAAACAGCAGTTTGCCACCATTGGTCATCCTGGCCTTGAACAGCCACGAGACCCAAAGCGATGAGTAGTAATAGACGCATTGTTAATTTAGTTTAGTTGTGATCAAGTGATGAGCGTTGAGCACAAACTGAATTCAGATATAAAATGTAAGGATATTTATAGTTGAGTGAGCACTGACGTGTTGTTGGAAGTGTGCCGTTGCGGTGATTTACGATAACGTTTCAAGTAGTTACACGAGTTAATCAGTCAATTCCTGCTGCTGTAATGTGACGAAATTATTCGAAAAGCGGAAAAATTAAATAAACATTAAAAACACCTCGTCACTAATCGCATAAATCTATAAATATTATCAAATGTCGTTGTTCGAGATGTTTATTTATCTGATTTAACAAAATTTTCAAGTAGATTCGTATAAATCTGGTTTGTAAAGTGGGAATTAGGTTTTGCAAAATGTGATTAATCAGGATTCAATATTTGCATCGCACGGGTCGTGACGTGCACAAGAAAATAAATTGCTCGCCCTCTAACTATCCGCTATTTATAATTTGCATTAGCCGGCGGTCGCTGCCAAGGGTTGTGCTGGCGCGGAGATTGCAGCTTGGAACACGCTCAACGTTAAAGTAGCCCTCGGTTGACAAGGGACGCCATGGGGACCGCCGCGCGCGTAAAGTTAGCCAGTGGGTGTGCGGGTAGGGTAGTAGTAGTCGGGCGTTCGCACAAAAGGTACAGAGCCGCCGACCCTCGGAAGGACGGACGGGCCGAGTACACGCGTCCCGCATGAATAATGCATCGGCGGCAAGTTCGCGTGTCCGAGGGATGGCGGGTGTGTGTGGGATGGGCCCAAGCAACGACGATGGTCATCATCGATTATTACGGATCGACCAATCCATCCTCGACGCGCTACCTTTCCGGCGGCGCGGCGACGCTTCGGTCGTCCATTATACTCAACCGCGGGCAGCGAACTTTCCCCGAAAGTTATCACTCGGTCGGCGGCGGTCTTGTTTAATGGATAATCAATTTTACTTCCTTGCCTGCTTCACAAACGTATTCACGTCAGAAGTTTCAAGCAACTCTTCAGTTCTTTTTTTTTTCGATTATTTTTTGAGTTCATTGTTTAAAAATAGTTTGTCCATTATTAGACTCCCTTTGTTCTTGGTCTTCTTGTAGTAGAGGACAATGTAGTTTTCAATGATGACTGTGACATGAGTCTTGAGACGCTCGATTCTCATTGAAAACGTTGAAAACGTTGAAAATGGGGCTCAACTAAAGAGGTCAAATGGAAGGCTATCGTATGTCGTGCGTCGCCGACGTCCCGGGGTTTGTTTAACTCGCATCGTCAGGCAAACAGACAGCCCCCGCAGACCCGAATTCCTTTCAGCGAGGGATTCGTCGCGCAGCGCACAAAAAAACCAACTCAACTCGTAATTCGATCCTTTCTACCACGAGCATTTCTTTGGTCTCACTTGGTCATGTATTAAACACATAAAATATTAATTTTACATAAAACTTTTTTCATTCTAACCTAATTTATTGATGTAGAACATGTTTTTTGTGCTACACATTGTTATAGGCAACCAAACATACAAAAGAATAGAAAAATGTATTCCAAGAACATGGTTGCATAAAGTGAGGGTATTTGAAAGTTTTGCTTTCGACCGGGCAGGATGCAGGACGCTGATTTATGAAATGCCCGCGTTGCGCCGCCGACGATAAAACTTTTCTCTGCATCTGGACGCGAAATCTGGACGGCAAATTCGAGAAAATCGAAAACGTACTAACATCCACTTCCAGACCAACTTAAAACTAGCCATGAATAAAAAAATAAAAATAAAAAGATAAAACTTTTACCTGTTTGAAATAAAAATGAAACTAAACAACTAAAAACTCACATTAAAAAGTTTGTGCTGCCTCTGGATTGAATATTGATATATTTTTATGAGTTGTATAAGTGTGGTGTTGAAATTAGTTGAAATCATTTGCATGCTGCGCGCGTGTTGTCGCGACTCGTGTCGAAATTGATAAATATGCATCAGATTGCTAATTTAACAATTACCATCGGCAATTTGCCGCCCCCGAGCGACGGCGGCGCGCACATACGGGCGCATTTCATTACTGCCGGGCGTCGCGACGCTCTATACCAGTGTATTCTAGATTCGGCAATGTCTTCTTAGCCCCGAGGCGCATCCCCAACGACTTTGCGCCATTCGTACGGCATCACATTCGTACAATTTGTCGGCGGCGGAGTAATTAAATCATTCTCGATTCTCATTTTCACAATTCTCACATCATTATTATGTCAGTAATACACAATCATGATTTTTATACAAAAAGGAAATTTATTGAGTGCTTAAAATCGTGTTTTAAGCTTAAAAGTAAAAAAATTAGGTTTTTTAGCAAAATGTCTTTAAAAAATAACTTTTTACATGTTTTTAAATCATGTAAATATTAAGTATGAATTAATATGTGTTTTTAATGAAGTTTCACTTGTTTTAAACAATTATTTTGGTAAAAAACTGATTTTTAAATTAAAAAAAAAATTTTTTTCAAAAAAATGCTTCAAATCATTTTTGACATCATTAATAACTCAAAAAGTATCATTTGAAACCTGAAAATTACAAATTTTTGTTAAAATATCTCTTTTTCTGGTCTAGACTATAGCAAACAAAGCAAGAAAGTAGAAGTTAATAGAAAAATTCGTGACATGTTTGTTGTGTCCGCTGTGAGTTTAGGTTTTCGGGTTTGGGTTTGAAAATTCCGCAGGATACACATCTCCACGATGTGCGTGCGTATGGCAAGCCCTCGGGACAGGTGGGGAAAGCCGACCGCCGGCTTTGGAAGAATGTAATTTCGCGAAGGACGCGGCAGGACGCGAGAGGACCGTCGAGGACGTAAGGACGAAAACCCCGCGGGGAGCACGTGCGGTCGGCATTTCAACCGCGTGGAACGTCCGGCATTGCCATAAACATTTCACAAACATTCGAAACAAAAATTTTCCATCACGTCCTCCACTGCCAGCCTGCTATCAAACTAGATAAATAGATAAACAAGCTCTCAATAAATACAAAATAAAAACTATTGATATTGACACTTGAAGATTTTATCTCTACAAAATATTGATTCCATTCATTACGAGTGTTGTACTGGTTTTGAATTGAAGTGTTGATTGCGGGTTATCAGGTTTTATTTTTAAATTTCTGGAAAGTTGATGTTAATGTAGATTTTGAGGGTCATCCTCTTCAAACACATTACGTTTATCACCTTATATTTAATCAAATCTCAAGCCCTTCAGCTGTGAAATGTAAATATGCTCGTGGTCCATAACATCCCTTTGTATACGCACGCGTCATATTGACCTTTGGCATGCAGCATGATCCACAGTGTCAAAATCACACAATCTCTCTCATAAAAGACCATTCAGAAGCTGTGGACCTATGTTGACCTTCGTGGAACCTGCCTGGAATGTGAGACGTGATCTAATTTTGAACTTGCAAGGGGTTACAAACCGGTCCGAAGGGGTCCATCATCACCTCATCAGTATCATCAGCATCAAGGGTAGGTAAATCCTGTTTTGGTCAGTTTAGCGGTCTGAAAGGGATGCTGGACCTAATTTAAAGTGGTGCAAAGGTTAATACTTATTCTGACCCTAGTAACATAACCTCTAACCTTGATTCATGGTGTTATTCAATAGATAACTTGTAATATTGGAAATTTTAATGTATTGATATAAATACTAGCAGATGGTGGTAATGACTTCACACCTAAAACCCTAAAATAAAGGGTTTTCCATTGTTTTCTATTGTATGCATGAACTTTTTGTGCTTTGTTCAGTTATTGTATGGATTAACACATGTTGCCGCAACATGCCGGCAGAAACCACACCTAAAGATCCTAAACATCTTCATTCCTGTCATCGTCCGTTTCAATTCCGGCGGCATCATAACGCGCCCGGGAAACGCGAGCTGTCCATGGAGAAAACTAACGTCCGGTATTCGGAACACATGTCGACATAACTGTCCCCGGCTTGGTGGCAGGGTCTAAAAGGGAAAACGAAGCAACGAGGACATGAGCAGGAGCACGAACAGGGCTGCGGACGGGAATCGATGGCCGGACCGAGGTAATGGCCAAATACACTCACACTCAGCACGTTGGTACAACCAGGGGAGGGTTATGTGTGTGTGGGCGCGCTGTCGGGAATGACAAGAATATGGGGTGGCAGTGGATGCTACTAATGTTCGTGCGCCTCGTAAAACTTCTGCTCGGGCGTGTTTGCCACGAAAGGAAAACTCGCAAACGGCGTAATATCTAGTTTGGGACCGATTGGATGGCGATGCAGGAAAATACTTTACAAAAATAAAATAAATTAAATCACATGCGACGAATTTTTTCGATAATGGAATTTTTTTTCAAGGTTCTCTGATGGACACCTAGCACGAAACGACTTCCTGAATCTTCTACGGTGCCCGGTCGACCGGAAAGCTGACGTTGACATACGAGCATAGACTTTGTTTCCGCCTTTCTCGATCTCCGATCTGCTTCCCAGGAGAAGGATCGTCCGAGTCCACCATGCGAGACAATCCGCCCCCAAAGAGACAGCCGAAGGTAAGCGAGCTTATTTAAATCGGCCGATTTTGATTTCGGACCCCCAACCCTCGAGTCAATCCGTCTATCCATCACCACAACAAGCTAGATCAACTTAAACCTCGAATATATACATTTACAATCCCTGAAATCACATTTTTAACAGATCGTTGGAAGTGGTGTGTTTATTTCATATTTTATTGGCGACTGGCGTCGTGCGAAGACTTGATAAATCATTTAATTGCCTTGTAGGGGATGGGGATGTGTTTGTTGGTCGAGTAGAAAGATACAAGTCAAAAAATCGGACTCGGCGCGTAAAAAATCCCATTTAAATTTAAATAGCTTCTGAATATTTGCGCGCGCGCGGGCGACAATGTCCTCCATGGCTTCGGTCGAAGGACGTGGGCTTTGCGTTAAAACCAACGACCCTTTTTTCGGGCGGCGGCGTCCAGACGCGAGCAGGGATGCGCACCCTTGCGGCGCGACGCAGATAAATAAAATTTACGATGACAGGATATGAAGTCGCGAACGAATGCCGCCACTACCAAAAACTATCCCT